TTGACTATATCTCATTTACTACACTCTTGACTATATCTCATTTACTACACTCTTGACTATATCTCATTTACTACACTCTTGACTATATCTCATTTACTATACTCTTGACTATATCTCATTTACTATACTCTTGACTATATCTCATTTACTATACTCTTGACTATCTTCAGACTGCAACAGCATACGCAAACTTTTTAGCCCCACGAGCCACCCTGAAATATCGGTTTTATCTGACACACCCCCGTGGAAACTCACAGACTTTGGTTTCAGAGACTGAGCTCAATGCTTATAACGTTATCCCGACCCCTGATATTTTCTACTGGCATTATTAATTTTTAATGCAGCCGTCAGTTTTTGGGCACGTTCAAAGAATCTGAAAAATCAAAAGTTTTGTGTCGATATTTGGAAAACAAATGTAGTATGTTACCCTTGACTGAAAACCTTTACTAGCATTTGATTTATTGATAACGTGGTTTTATTGATGATCTAACAACTGAAGGCTGTTTGATATGTTTCCTACAGCTTCAAGCCTTTAATGGCGTTTGGTTTATTAGTCTCAGTTTCCCAAGTTGCTTGAGGAACAGGAAACATTTGAGTATGTTCTGCTTCCTTTAACTGCAAGCCTTTAGTAACATTTGAGTTATGGATATGGTTTTTATATATGGTTTCAGAACAAGAAGCTGTTTAGTTTGTTGCGTTTTCTTCAGCTGGAAACACTTTAATAACATTTGATTTATTAATATTGTTTTACTGAATGTTTAAGTTCGCTACAAACCTTTGGCAGCATTTGATTTGTCTACTAATGTCTACATGATTTGATTAATGGCTTCAGAAGGAAGAAACCGTTCTCGTCTCCAGAGTTTTTTTACGTCACAGAAAAGGAGCTGAATGATTCCCGGAAGTGTGGCACGATTAACCTCTCCATGAAATTTCTTTTTCTTCCTCGGATCCCTTGATTACATTCGCTGGCTAGGACCTCTCTATGACGTTCCCTGACTGAGGTCACGTGGGAAACTGTCCCGCGGGTCATAACATGCAACAACTAGGAGCGAGCTCTGTGTCAGAAAACGTACCCGGGACTAAGTGAATTATTATGCTAATATGCCATAACCAAGTCATGGTAACGACATTTGGGGAGGGAACAGCCGGAGAAGAGGTCGGCCGTGAATCTACTTACCATTTCTGGCTGTAAAGAACAAAGACATGTAGAGTAGCAGTAGAACCAGCACACTCCAGAACGACCAACTCTTGTACATTGACAAAATGACTTTCAAAAATTCTTATCAGTTTCGAGAAATCGCAAATTGTCGATTTTTATTGTAGTAATCTGCTTATCACCATAGTTTCAGTTTTCTTGATGTTCAGGCTTAAGCCCATGTTGTCACTCTCTTGTACGATGACACTTCATAGATCCTGTAGGTGTTCTTCATCTTCTGCTGTAAGGACTGTATCGTCTGCCTTAGATTGTTTTTATTATGTCCCCCTATCAAGATATCTGGCATTTCTTCTGTATGTGTCTCACGATATTTTCATATCACTCAGCAGTAATGGGTACCTGACTTCGAGTTGGGGAAGTAAAGGCGGCGTGGAAAGGAACTGGCCACCCTACCACAATATGTCGAAAGCCCAGGAAGTTGTCTCTCTAACAAGGCAAACCCCAATGTCCGGATCGGATGCGGGAACAACTTTACTTTAAAAAAAATATAATATCTAATCTTTTGTGCAGAGTACATCAATGGTAGATCTAGCACCCCCAAGAGAAATGTCTTTCCTTCCCTGTATTCAACAGATATTATAAGAAAACCGGAAATCTTTATTTTCTCGAAACTGCCGTGAATAAGAAAGAGGCGTTTGTTCAGCGTACGACATTATACCCATGGGGTTCTTACAGCGGGGATCAAATTGCCACATGCTCTGACAGGCGATCTGTTCGTTATTCATTGAAAAAAAGAAGATATTTTTTATAAGGTTTTACAGGACTCGCAACTACATAAGGTCATATGAGCGCCAAGGGGTGGGTGTCAACAGAGAAGTGCAAACAGGAAATCAGGCTTACTCTGCTCACCTCTCTAGCTTCAACAGCATAAAGTCTGCCTCAAATATCAAGGCACACCGGAAATAGCGGGTCACAAGAGAGTGACAAACATACAAAAGAAGTAGAGAAAAAAATGACGATAGTAAGGATGAGGAAAGAAAAAGCGGCAGTCCCCCCTATGTTGTTTCAGCACAGTATGAGCATGACCTTAATAAATAATCCCATTTACAATTCTACTGTGCATAAAAACATGTTAATATCCACCATTTGGGAATGGCCTAAAGACACTTCAGTCAGTGGCACTGCCCGGGGGGAGGGAGGGGATTATTGATGCTTGAGATACTGGAATCGACGGTGTTTAGCTGAGGACCAACATTTTACATTGACACAGAAAGCACGTTCTCTCCTTTCTGAATACGTTTAAAAGAGACAGCTTTGTCAGAAGTTAACAGTTTATCGACGCACTATAAGCCAAGGTAATATAAATATTTCCACTTTCTAGACAGTGTAGAAGTTACAGTCTTTCTTGTGGCTCCTTTCAACAACAATAACAACAAAAATAACAACAACAACACCACCACCACCAATAACAAAAACAAAAGAGAAAGAGAAACCCAAAAACAAAACAATAAGAAACCCTTAAAAACCCCCAGAAAAGAGGAACCCCCGTCATTATTCAAACACTATAATACGATTTTCACAGACTAACAACATAAGAGGTAGTGCTTGATGAAGCCCACGTGGGACGCTCAATGTTAAAAACACCGAGGAAACGACAAATGCAGTTTTTGGGACACCTGGATAGACATAAAGGTCTTGAACATCTAGCTCTCACTGGCAAAATCGAAGACAAACGAGGCAGGGGTAGGTCCAGAGCAACATGCTTAGGGAACCTAAACAAATGGGTAATAGGGAAACATCGGGGAAGTAGCTTTTTTAGAACATCCGAGCAAAGAAATGAATGGAGAACCATGATCGCCGATGCGCTTTTCCCTTTCGTCAACCC